TGTGGGACCTCAAGGAGTAAAGGGAAACAAAGGCGACAAAGGGTCTGTTGGAGCAACTGGGATAAAAGGAGAGACGGGAGCGAAGGGTCTTCAAGGACGAAAAGGATCTATTGGCTCAAAAGGAAATAAAGGCAACAAAGGATCGGTTGGTATTCAAGGACCGAAGGGAGAATGTGTTGTTCCTATGAGAATCAGTGTGTATCCAGTATCTCAGGAAGTTTTTGCAGGCGAGACAGCAATATTTTACTGTTGGGTTCAAGGCCAGACGTCGTCCACGATAACATGGCGTAAGCTTGGAGGTGTCCTATCTGATGCTACTGTGGAAGAAGGTGCACTTCGAATCAGCAAGGTACAAAGTTCACATGTTGGATCTTACATGTGTACAGCTCGCACTGGTCTAGGAATGTTAAGAACAATAAGCAGGCTTCAGATAAAAGGTACGATGTTTTAGTTTAAAGCTCTTTCTAGGTTTAAATTTTCTTGGTCAAAGTCATCGTTGGATGTTTTCTAGTTGAGTAACGAAGTCATCGTCGGATGTCTCCTAAACAGTTCGTACCCTTAAACTCAACTTCACAGTATAGCATTTTCCCAACTCATAAGACAACTATTGAAACCGCAAGAAGTGTAAATATAGATATAATACCATAGCTATATAGATATAACTATGCAGCCAAATGCTATGACCAAATTTGGCTGACATTAAAAGATAACTTACAGTAAAATATCATTTCATTGGCTCTGTATTATTTTATGGTGTCATTTTTCTTCTGTTAACACCGAGTTTGAATGTGCAAACGGATTCTATCCGTGCTAAAGTATTCGTGTAGCTACCTCCCCAGTGCAAATTAGTTGTAACTCTTGAACTCGCATTTGTTAATTTTATTGTCATTCGTACCCTTGATAATGGCGTCATGAAGTCGCCGAAACGTCGGGATATTATATCGTTCGTTTTTACCTGTCTATGTATTACTAAATATTTGTTAGTACATTTTTCTTCATTGTATTTTTTCATTTTTCCCCAGCAAACACAACGGCATAACACTGCTTCCTTTTACCCCTAAAATGTCACGCCCGTTAACTTAGCTAATTTACTAACCTACTTAAGTACTTACCAATCATATTTACTTGGTCTGCATTTTTATTCAGAGTCACCAAAATTTACAAACAAACCTTCTTCAGAGGTCATTTTGGCGCAAGGAACTACTGCAAGCTTGTGCTGTGAAGCTACAGGTTCTCCACCTCCCAGAATTGAATGGTACCGAGCCCAAAAACAATCTGTTTCCATCCCGGTTAACCAGGAAGACAGATGTCTCCTAGTTAACACAGATAAAGAAAACGCTGAAGGAGACTACATCTGCCGGGCCACGAGCAGATTAGGATTGGCAGAGACAGTTACCACGGTGATTGCAACGAGATTAATTGGTATGACATTAGTTTTCATAACAGCTTACCTATGTCTTGTGTCAACGAGTTCTTGTCATAATAATTGCACAAGAACAACTAACCAGCAGCTAAAGTAAAAATTTAGTTTATTAATTGAGAAAGCTGTTCAGAAGAATTCTCATAAAGCTGATACGTGCCCTACAAAGAATTATCTCACAAAATACTTGTATTATGTTTAACGTAGAAGTTCTCAAGTTCTTTGGTTTATTTTACAGTTGCTGATTGCAGAGCTGCTTTTGAATTGGTAAACTGGACTGTCACTCAACTGGCCTCCGTATATACCACAAGTTGCATTTGCCTTTCAGAATCACTCTCTATTCCTCTAGGTATTTCATGTCAGTCGATTCGAAGGGATCAACCTGGTGAATCTGACGGGATCTACTATATCCATGATAAAAGCACTAAAATGACCTTTGCTGTAAGTATGAACTATGATCAACGGAAGACGACCTGTTTTCCTTCTACGAATCAGCGAGCGAACCAAGCTAATACATGTAAATCAGTTCAATGTTCAAGAAAGCAAAGGCTTCAGCTCGTTCTGTACTATTGGCCATTTCTGCGATACTTTTTTCGTCGATTCCAATTCGCTATAGCTAAAAAAAAACTAACAATACAACTGCAAGATTCTCTCCGACTTTCGGGTGGAAAACAAGAACAGATATGAAATACGAAAAAGTACAAAAAAGTGAAGTCCTCGGCTAATCTATATGAATTCGAGTTACGCCAAAGCCAGCAGGACCATGAGAAAATTTAAAATCTAAAGTCACCTTACACCACCCAACAGTAGGAACCCTCCTGAGTAGGGGCACTAGTCTGCGTAGTCTGCGGTTTTGTGTGCGTTGACTGTGTGCGCTAAAGCGATGGGCGGCGAATCCGCGTGAGGTTTGGAAAGGGGAACAGTGTTAAACTCGCACGCTGAAAATGGGGTGGTTCTTCAGTCTTTTTTCCGTTCAACACCTGTACGGAAATTTTAAGGTGTCAATCAAATGTTAAGGCTATATCACAAGGGAGTTAAAAGGAACAATTAAGAATACTTTTCGCGAATTAGGGATATGTTAATAGCGAACCTAAGCAAAAAAAAAAAATGGATGAAAACAAACCCTGAGCTGTTTTTTTTTCTGAATCTGCGTCACGGAGAGAGCGAAAATTTGTTGCAAGGAGAGCTTTGGTCAACGAGAGGAAGCTGAAGCCATACCACCCACCAGCTTTAGCAAGAGTATGATTTTAACGGTTATCGCTCTGAAGAGAAAGAAAATACGTAGTATTTCGCTGGACCTTCGGATGATAAAGTGGTGAATAAATGATCCCCGCACGTGAAATCTAGTTAAAGAAATTGCTGTAAAGAAGCATGAAAAAAAGTCTAGCCTTTAAGGTGAATGAAACTCGAGCCTCCCAGGTACTATTTTGGCTCTATTCTACCAACTGAATCCCGAAGCCACACACAAGACGCTAGACAAGTTTTACTAGATTCCTAATTCATTTAAAGGAATTCCAAAAAGAAGCCAGGAAAAATGCAGGCTTTGACAGAATTCAAACCTGTGCCTCCCAGATATCAGTTGGATGCTGTTAAAAACTGACCCACGAGGCCATGCATTGGAAGCAAGGTTTAATTTTGTAGGTTAATCGTTCAAATCTCCCCAAAGTCTGATTTGTTAACTGCAGTTTGCTTAATTGTAACCAACCTGTGGGGATCATGGCTCTACCTCTGTGAGAAAAAATAGCCGGTTAGTTGCTACAAGCCGTTATTTGATTGGTTGCGTCAGATGGATATCTAAATATGTGTCCAAGGGATTGCCGAATAAAGCATCCCTCACTCCCAATTCAGAAAGCTTCGCCGCTCTTCGGCTAAAGCAAGTAAAACCGTGAAGCACGAACGAAACCGACAACAATGCAGGCTTGTAGTGTCTAAAAGCGAAAAAGTGTTCCACAAAAGGCAGCCACGAAGGCGAACAACAACAGTACACACAGCACAGGTTTCTTTAATAATCTTCCCGCGCTCACACTTCCCCGAATGTATACTTTTACAAATACAACCGCTGTCCTAGCATACTACATTCCCTCTCTTTCTTCGCTTAGATAGTTGACCTCGAAAGACAGAAACATTACAAACTTCCACTTTGTTTAGACACCGTAAAAGTTCAGTTCAAATCCAAATGTTCAAGACAAAAGTCACGCTAAACACAAACATAGCCTTTGCCATTCGGCTCATAAAACAACGTTTCAATGTCATTCATGTATATAAGAACGATCCTTCGCAGTAAAGCACTATTTGAGCAATAGTGGAAATCAGACCTGAAAAAAATTTCAGGCCTGTACTGTCATTCATGTAATAACAACGAACAGTAATATGAAAATGCCAATGTCACTAGTTTTAATACAGAACGTAGTCACTCAGAGCCTTCGGACGGCTCGTAATTCTGCCGGATCCTCTTACATGCTGCTCAGCTGTAGGTGCAGTAGAAGGTACATCTTCTGGTGGTGATTCAGCCATTGGTTCTTGATCCTTTGCCATAGGTGGCGTCTCAAATGACTTAGGTTCAATCCGTGGTTCAGCGACCTGTGGTGGCGCTTTCTGCTCTTCTACATCTGGCATATTGAAGGGCTTAATATGCTGAAGGTTGCGATTGTACTGGACACCTTGAGGCGATCGCAACACCACCTGGTCCCCATAACGAGATATCACCTGATATGGTTCCTTCTCATAGCAAGGGGAAAGCCTATTTTCTTTCTTCTTCTCAAGGAGAACACTGTCTCCTTCTCTCACATTTCGATCTCTGGTATGGAACGTATTGTCCACATAGTCCTTGTTAGACTGATTTTTCTGATTGTCCCGATCACGGACGGCTTGATCGCTCACTTCTACCTCCTCCTCTTCAACATTGACTAGCTCAGGCATTTTAGTTGTTAGCTTTCTCCTAAACAATAACTCGGCAGGACTCTTTCCTGTAGTTGAACGTGGCGTGGAGCTGTACGCCAAAAGGAACCTGTTTAGCTCCTCTCTCCAATTCTTTCCTCCTGCATGGGCTGCTCTCGTGGACTTCAGAAGCGACCTGTTTTGCCTCTCTACCTCACAATTCGCTCTTGGTCATAAAGGTGCTGTGTAACGGTCTCCATCCCCATTTCATTCAAGTAATCTTCTACTTCTTTGGATACAAGATTTAAGCCATTGTCGGTACGCAGACCTTTAGGCAACCCATGTCTTGCAAATTGGGCATCCAAGCAATGAATGATGGTTTTGCTGGAAGTTGTTCGGATAACATCAACATCTATCCACCGGCTGTAATAATCAACGAGAACTAAAAAATGTCCTCCAGAAGGTAACGGACCTATTAGATCCACAGCTACTTCTTCCCATGGTTGGTTGGGTAATGCTGTTGACTTCAGTGGTGAGGGTGGAACGTTCTTTGTAACAATCTGGCACCCGTAACACTCTCCACATCTTTTCTCGGCATCACGATCCATAGCAGGCCACCAGACCTTTGTTCTAAGTCTCTTCTTTGTCTTTATGACTCCTTGGTGCCCCTTGGGTGCCAAACTGACGAATCTCTTGCGAAGTGCTAGGGGTATGACAATTCTTGTCCCCCGGAGAATTACATGCCCAATAAAAGTCAACTCATTGCGCAATGGCAGATACTGCTTTGGGGCATTGCGATTTCTCTTCGATGAGGCATTTCCTGATTGCTTGCAACTCAGAGTCTTGTGCTGAGACTTGTTCAATCTCTTTGATTCTCAATGCAGCAGGGACAGCATGTAGAGCTATCATGCGTATATATCCAGCATCTTCCACTGACTTGTCTGAAGCAGGTATCTTCGTCAATCGGGAAAGGGCATCTGCGATGTTTTTGTCTTGAAGGCACGTAGCAAACTTGATAGTTGTACGGTTGTAAACGCAGAACCCAGTACTCTATTCTGACTGAAGGTTTAGACTTCCTTGACTAGATGACTTTAAGTGCTTCATGGTCTGTCACCAGATCAAACTGTGGAAGCCCGTTCAAGTAGAGGTGGAAGCGTTCACACGCCCATACCAAGGCTAGTGCTTCCTTTTCTGTCTGACTATAACGACGCTCCACTTGACTCAAACCACGTCTAGCATAACAGACGGCACGGCTTTACCCATTCTTTTCTTGCACCAGTACGTTGCCAAGCCCAACAGGACCTGTATCAGCAATAACACGGGTGGGTGTGTCCTTATCGAAGTAAGCTAGGACTGGTGCACTTTCAACTTGACTCTTCAATCTCTGAGATGACTGCTCCTGCTCCTTGTCCCACACGAACGGTTCCCCTTTTCTTGCAAGTTTTCTGAGGGGATCAGTAGTGGTAGCAAAATCTGGTATAAACCTGGCACTGAATCCAACGAGCACCAAGAAGCTACGGACTTCTGAGGCTTACTTGCCTCTGCAATGCCTCTGACTTTTTCCTCCGCTGGGCCGATGCCATGTTTGCTCAGCAAAAGACCCATGAATACCATTTTGGTCATTCGGAAGGTGCACTTTTCAGCATTCAAAGTCAGCTGCTTCTCACTAAGACGTTGCAACACACTGTGTAAGTTCTTATAGTGTTCCTCAGTGTCTCGACCATGAGATATAAGATCATCTACTATGTTTGACACCCCTTGTAGACTCGCCATTGACTGGATGATGATATGCTGGTACTTCTCTGGTGCGGCTTATACACCAAAACTCAAACGTTTGTGGCGGAATATACGATCATGGGTGGCAATAGCGGTGATATCCCTTAAATCAGGATCCAGCTCAATTTGATGAAAACCCCACCTTAAATCTAACTTCGAGAAAACACCACTCCCATTAAGACTTTCAAGGACTTTATCTGTGGTTGGTATAGGCAATCTTTTCCAAATAATGCCCTCGTTGGCTCTCTGCTTATCGACACACAACCTTGTGTACCCGGACGGTTTGAGTTAGGAGCAACAACGAGTGGCCTTACCCACACCGTAGGCCCCTCGACTCCCTCAATTATGTCCTTTTCAAGGAGTTCGTTTACGTGGCAGTTACTTTGTCCTTTTACAGAAAAAAAAGTACTCGTTGCATTTTTTCAACCACTGGAGCTGCTCTGGGGTCAATGTAAACTGATAATCTTTAAGCTTTCCAATTCCCTGGAATACACTGGGGTATTTTGCTTTGAGTTTTCCCATGAAGGTATCATCAACAGTGTTACAGTCTCCTGTCCCGAGAGTTCCCGAGAGATCCACACGAAGGAATCCAAGATCTGTGGCGGACGAATATCCCAGCAAACAACGCCCGGATTCAACAACAATGAAATCTGCCACAACCTTTGCTTTGGGTACGGAAACTTCTGTCTGAAACTGGCCCTCAATTTTAAGCTCTCGACCCCCATAAGCATACAATCTCTTCACACAAGGTTTTAATTTAATCTTGAGCCCCTGATACTTAAGTTCCTGCAGTGTATCTTTACTAATGAGGTTACTTGCAGAACCTGAATCAATCAACACATCTCAGCTAATTCCACCAATCTTCACTGAGATAACGGGCTCAGCGGAATTTGACATAGCACATGTCTGTTCTTCTATAGTAAAAGCAAAACTGTCATTCTCACCTGACTCGTTACAATGATCCTCAACATGATTGGCCTGTCTCCCCTTACCATGACGCTGCTGTCTACCTCCCAGTTGTTGGGTGTTCAATCAATCAATCAATACTTTATTTACCCACGTAGCGTCAAGGAGCTCATAGAGCTCGTTCAAAGTACGTACGTGCCTCTAAGATTAAGAATCTAAAAAAACCAAATATATACTGTCAAGACCTAATTGATTAGAAATTGAAATAACTAACAATTAATATTAAAATTTAAGTTTGTGCAGTAAAATTCAAAGTCACTTAAGTACAGATATAAAATGGTGAAGCAATAGCTTAAATAATTTAAAATTAAGATTAAAAATTAAGTTTCTGCAATGAAATTGAGAGTCACTTAAATACAAGTATAAAATGGAGAAGCAGCTAAAGTTTCAATGTTCTCAATAGCTTCTCAAAAAGGGTGATATTATTAGCCAGTTTTACACTCGTATGTAATCCATTCCATAGCTGCGCACACATATAAATGAAAGATGTTTTCATAAAATTTAAATTAAATTTAGGTGCGTACAAATTCATGCCGGTTCCTCTCAGATTGTTTCCCTAAAACTAAAAAAAAAATTGATATATTTGGGACCGTCGTTATGCAAACATTTATATAACAGAATAGGGGATTGTTGTTTCCTTCTCTGGTCTAACATTTCCATATTAAAGATTCGCAGCAATTCATCATAAAGGGTAGACTTAAAATAACTTAGCAGTGATCTAAGAATATATTAGCTGGCATCTTCTAGCCGATTCGCGTGCACTTTCCCCAATCCAAGAAAGAGCTAGCAACAGTATTCAAAATGAGGGAGGATGAAAGTTTTATAGAGCCTTAACATAACATTTCCAGGGACAAAACGCCTGATTCTCCTAAGTGCGTCACTTTTAGCGTATACCTTTTGAAGCTGTTTAGTAATGTGATCCTTGAAAAATAGCATGCTATCAAGTTCAACGCCAAGTATTTTGATAGATGGCAGTGTTTCAATGACAGAGCTATGTATGGCCAGGTCGTAACTGTACTTGCAGGGACCAATGGGTACTGCTTGCGTCTTTGTGTTGTTGATCACCAGATGACTCTCTCCAAACCAAGATGATAACCACTCAAGACCATTATTCACTACAAATTCGAGAACCAAGGGCGAGACGTCCGAAGCATACATAGTTGTGTCGTCGGCGTATAACCTTAGACGTACATCCGGTATGGCGTAGTTCAAGTCATTTATATAAATGTTAAACAGGAGCGGTCCGAGGAGGGATCCTTGGAGGACGCCCACCATTACTTCTGAGTAGCTGGAGCAAACACCGGACAACTTAACTCGCTGTCTTCGCCCCAACAAATTGGAAGAAATCAAGTTTAATGCAGACGGAGAGGAGCCATACGCTTTTAATTTAGCCAATAGGAGGTTATTGTTAATAGAATCAAATGCCTTGGACAGGTCCACTGCCACGGCTATAACTGCCTCCCTTTTTTCAAGGCCTCGCCTCCAGTCCTCAGTCATCTTCAAGATTGCGGTGCAACAAGAGTGTTTCTTCAAGAGCTCAGATAGATTCGGAGAAAGATGTTCATGGAAAGCGCCATACAGT